GAATCCGTTGTTCCATGTAAAAGGCAAATATTTATAGCATACAATCCAAATAAGCCTACCAAATGTATTTATGCACTAGCTGTTTTTTCAATACTTCCCTATTATGGCAGCATAACATCCGAAAACATTCGACCTACTCTTCCAGTAAGCACTCAGAATTCCATTTCATTTATAAAAAAAGTTGTTGGGCTGGGCGCGGTGGCTCACGCCTATAATCCCAGCACTTTGGAGGGCCAAAGTGAGATGACTGCATTAACCCACAAGCTGAAAACCAGACTGGGCAAGTTGATGAGACCTCTTCTCTACAGTAAATCAAGAAAAATTAGCCGGATACAGCAAGCCAGCCTGTGGTTCCAGCTACTTGCATGGCTAAGGCGAGAGAATTGCCTGAGCCCAGCAGCTTGAGGCTGCGGTGGCTGTGAGCATGCCACTGCACTCCAGCCTGGCCAACAGAGTGAGACTCCAACTCAAAAAAAAAAATTTTTTTTGGAAAAAGTTTCCAATGCAGCAGGATACCACATGTTTACTGACAGATATTACACTAGTATTGTCCTAGCAGAAGAGCTAGCTACTAAAGATAAAGTCAACCGAATCAAATCAGCAATCAAAATTAAAGTTAACAGGTAATACCAACACAAATTAAAAAGCTAAAATTTTTTTTTTTTTATTGTGAAGTTGTGGGGTACAGTTAAAGGTTAGGTATACAATTGCGTTTCATTCAGGTACCCTGTTGATATGGGGTGTTTCCCCGTTCCCAGACAGATATTTGCTACTGTTAATCCCATCTCCCTCCCCCCACCATAGTTTCCCAGTACGGTCAGTCATTTTCGTATAGTATTGCATTGGATGTTTAAGGTCCATTGTATGAGTGAGAACATGTGATACTCGGATCTTTGTTTCTGTGAGAGGTCACTCAGTGTTATAGACTCTAGTTCCATCCAGGTTGCTGTGAAATTCATGATTTTGTTCTTTTTTATGGCTGCGTAGTATTCCATCGTGTATATGTACCACATTTTTTTAATCCAGTCCTCTTTTGACGGGCAGCATGGCTGTTTCCAGGTTCTTGCTATTGTGAACAATGCTGCGATAAACATGCGTGTGCAGGTATCTTTTTTATAGAGTGATTTGTGTTCTTCAGGATATATTCCCAGTAGGGGGATTGCGGGGTCAAAAAGGAGGTTGGTATTTAGAAAAGCTAAAATTTTTAATGCAAAAAAAAAGTATATAGGAAAAATAACCGTATGCTTCTTGTGGAAGGACAAAAGGATCATTACAATTCTCAGCGCTTGGAGTCATGCCGGAATGAAATCGACCACAAGGACATTACATGGTGGAAATAGTATTTCAGTGAAAAAGCCTGAAATGAGGCTGGGCTCGGTGGCTCAGCCTGTAATCCCATCACGTTGGGAGGTCAAGGCGAGTGGATTGCCTGGGTCCGCGGGTTTGAGACCAGTCCGGGCAACCTGGTGAGACCTCGTCTCTACAATAAAATAAATAGCCGGGCATGGTAGTGCACATCTGTAGTTCCGGTTACTTGGAAGGCTGAGGTGGAAGGATTGCTGGAGTCCAGATGGTTGACGCTGGGTGGCTGTGAGCGTGCATGCCACTGCACTCCAGCCTGGGCAAAGGAGTGAGACTTCAACTCAAAAAAAAAAAAGTCTGAAATGATGCTCAATTCTATTGCAAATATGACCGGTGTGGATCATGTGGATCAATATGTCTCTACATATTGTTTTTTGTCAAAATATTTAAAATGAAGGAAATTATTCTTCTGAGGACTAGAAATATGCCTAATTAACTCCTATATACTGTACCAAGCATTAAAAAAAAAAATGTCCTTCCACATCGTCTTTGGACAACAGACTGGACATTAAATTACATATTATTAATGTGGGAGGAAGAAACCGAGATTGCATTGTCTGCTCAAATAGAAAACACCAGATGGAAGAAGTCAAACAAATTACTATTGCACACATGTATCGATGAACCTGCAATGCATGTCAGTGAGTTTCACACATTACCACACAGAAAAATAACAAATATAAAATTTTGATTTTTTTTGTCAAATAGTTTCCTCAATTCCATTATAAGCCAAATATCATTACAATAAAATAATTGGTTCCGAGCCGGGCTCGGTGGCTCAGCCTGTAATCCCAGCACTTTGGGAGGCTGAGGTGAGTGGATTGCCAGAGCCCGCGGGTTCAAGACCCGCCTGGGCAGCGAGACCTCAACTCTACAATAAATCAAAAAATCAGCCGGGCGTGGTAGTGCGCGCCTGTAATTCCGGCTACTCAGAAGGCTGAGGCGGAAGGATTGCCGGAGTCCAGCGGGTCGAGGCTGCGGTGGCCGGGAGCGGCCACTGCACTCCAGTCTGGGGGACGGAGTGAGACTCCAACTCAAAAAAAAAAAATAATAATAATAATAATAATTGGTTCCAGTGCTTTACTATTTAATATGAAGTGATTCGTTCTTCCCTATTTCCTAAAAAAGTGCAGTCGAGGTGCCGGTAGGTGATCTGTGAGATGTCTCTGAGTGCAAAGGGTTCATATAAAATCCATTGAAATAACATGATGGCCAGGCGCAGTGGATCACGCCTGTAATCCCAGCACCTTGGGAGACGGAGGCAAGAGGATTGCCTGAGCCCAGGAGTTTGAGACAAGTCTGGGCAACTTGGTGAGACCTCATCTCTACAATAAATCATAAAAATTAGCCAGCCGTGGTGGCAGGCACCTGTGGTTCCAGCTACTTGGAAAGCTAACGCAGAAGATTCTCCTGAGCCCAGTAGGTCGAGGCTGCATTGGCCATGAGCGTGCCACTGCACTCCAGCCTATGTAACAAAGTGAGACGCTGAGTCAAAAAAATAATGAGTGAGAATACTTTGGAGAATAACTAAAATGTAACTTTAACACTTTAAGCGTATTAGATCTTGATGTGTTTATCAATGAGTATGTAGATACTGATATAAGTAGCACCTGAGTGCAAGACTAGAGATTCAGTTCTCTGTTTAGGCAGGAGGAGTTTCTAGGAAATACTCGTACATTTTGGCTGTGATTTTGTGGAAGGAAAGAGGGTGAAGACAATCCAATTTTTTTTTTTTTTTGAGTTGGAGTTTCACTCCGTCGCCCAGACTGGAGTGCAGTGGCCGCTCCCGGCCACCGCAGCCTCGGCCTGCTGGGCTCCAGCGATCCTTCCACCTCAGCCTTCCGAGTAGCCGGAATTACAGGCACGCGCTACCACGCCCGGCTGATTTTTGGATTTATTGTAGAGATGAGGTCTTGCTGCCCAGGCGGGTCTCGAACCCGCAGGCTCAGGCAATCCACTCACCTCAGCCTCCCAAAGGCGCGGGATTATAGGCTGAGCCACCGAGCCCGGCTAATCCAAATTTTTTTGAGGGCTGAGAATATAATAGGTATATTAGTGTTATGGCATGATACAGTTCCAGAAATTACAGAAGATAAATTATCCTATTGCTACTATAATCCAGACCAGGTCTAAGTAAATTATATTTGTTTTTCAATGTCACATATCAATTATTTCTATTATACATAGCAACATTAGTTTCTAAAGGTACAATTTTTTTAAATTAGTAAGGACTTTCTTTATAGACCTGTATTGAACTAGAAACTGATAATTATAAGGAAACTCTTATCTAGAAAAGATAACTTAGGCATGGTGATTCGATGCCTTTTTTTTTTTTTTTTTTTTGAGTTGGAGTGAGTGCAGTGACCGCTCCCAGTCACCGCAGCCTCGACCTGCCGGGCTCCAGTGATCCTTCCACCTCAGCCTTCCGAGTAG